ATGTTAATCAAGTGGCCAGGTAAACCACCTCTCCTGGTCATTCCATGGTATACTATGTTAATCAAGTGGTCAGGTAAACCACCTTTCCTGGACATTCCAGGGTATACAATGTTAATCAAGAGGCCAGGTAAACGACCCATCCTGGTCATTCCAGGGGTTACTATGTTAATCAAGAGGCCAGGTAAACGACCCATCCTGGTAATACCAGGGTATACAATGTTAATCAAGTGGCCAGGTAAACCACCTCTCCTGGTCATTCCATGGTATACTATGTTAATCAAGAGGCCAGGTAAATGACCCATCCTCATGGTCATTCAAGAGGTTACTATGTTAATCAAGAGGCCGGCAATGTAAACGACCCATCCTGGTCATTCCAGGGTTTACTATGTTAATCAAGTGGCCAGGTAAACCACCTCTCCTGGTCATTCCATGGTATACTATGTTAATCAAGAGGCCAGGTAAATGACCCATCCTCATGGTCATTCAAGAGGTTACTATGTTAATCAAGAGGCCGGCAAGGTAAACGACCCATCCTGGTCATTCCAGGGGTTACTATGTTAATCAAGAGGCCAGGTAAATGACCCATCCTCATGGTAATTCCAGGGGCTGATATGTTCATCAAGAGACCAGGTAAACCATCAATCCTGGACATTCCAGGGGTTACTATGTTAGTCAAGAGGCCAGGTAAATGACCCATCATCATGGACATTCCAGGGGCTACTATGTTAATCAAGAGGCCAGGGAAACGACCCATCCTGGTCATTCCAGGGTATACAATGTTAATCAAGTGGCCAGGTAAACGACCTTTCCTGGTCATTCCATGGTATACTATGTTAATCAAGAGGCCAGGTAAACCACCCATCCTGGTCATTCCAGGGGTTACTATGTTAATCAAGAGGCCAGGTAAACGACCCATCCTGGTCATTCCAGGGATTACTATGTTAATCAAGAGGCAGGTAAACAACCCATCCTGGACATTCCAGGGGATACTATGTTAATCAAAAGGCCAGGTAAACCACCCATCCTGGACATTCCAGGGATTATATTCTCTTACTTTCTCCCACCCCTATTCCACGTCAAGATGAAATTGAAGCCTTGGTGTGTGCCACCTTGTGGACAATACATCTAGACTAGTTTGAACCTTTGATGTACATCAAATCAATCGTTCAGCAGTGTAAGAGTAAAATTGAAAGTAGTGGAAATTCTCGTCTGTAATCTTGAAAGCACTTCTATATGTATCAGCCTTGTGATTGGTCATTTTTCACCCGAAACTAATTCAATTGCTAACTATGAGTCTCCAATTTTGTCTTGACATATTCCAGGGGTGCTGAGAATGTAAGTAAACGTTAAATATGGAATGTCAAAGACGGGCGGTTTCCTGGCCTCTCGACTAACAGTTGTGTGTGAGAAAAAAACCACAAGGGAGATTTCTAATTTTGATGAAAAATAATTGTCTAATTCAAGATGTCTGCCTGGTGGCCATTTTGTTCCAATCAGGATGGAAATGAAACATACACAACGAAGAACCAAGAGAAGCTACAATAGAAACTTTGAGAAAGATTCCTTCAGTAATTCCTGAAAATAGCAACAACAAATTAAAATCTGACAGGAAAAATCAAAGATGCCTGTCTTGGAATGAACATGTAATAATAATAGTCAGACCAAGGGGAACCTTCATTTGAACACTATCCATCCAACTTGACCATCAAAATCCAGAATGGCCACTTAACAGCCATCTAGATCTAGATTACTGCTAGGCAGTCATCTTGTTCTTTCAATCAGTTTCAAAATTCAACATGTATACCTAAGGACAAAGGGGCTACCAGTGAAATCTGTGGACGATCAGTCCAGTATTTCTTACAAAAATAGCAATAGCAAACTTTAACAGCCAAAAACCCAAGATGGCCACCTGCCGTCTATCTTGTTCTTCTGTTTAGTATCAAACTTGTTTAAGGACAGATTATCTACTGGCCATTGATGAAAGGCAATACAAATAGCACATACTTTTTAGACAATCAGGCGTCACACAGCTTGTGGCAGTGACGGAAGTTGTGGCATGCAACAGAAAACTTCCTTCTGGACAAGGAGCACATGTGTCATTGCCATAGTTAACTTTACACATTGAAACTGTGAAATCTGCAACAGAAAGTCAAATGATGAGTGGAAGGTTTTTAAGTTATTGTGTTGTGTTTGGGTTATGGATTATTCTTTTCCTCAAACATTTAGTTGGTGGTTTATTGGACAGGCGAGCTGAAGGCTATGTATGTTTAAGTCAGTACATATTAGCATCTGACACATGTTCTTCAAATGTCTGTGGAAACTGATGCTGAAAAAATCACCTGGCGGAAATATTGACACAGAACGAATACTACGTGATTTTTTTTTTAATATGGAAAAGGAGAATAAGGCCCCAAATTTCTCATATGTATGAGGATGAAATCGGGGAATAACAATGTTCCAACATAGCTATATATTTTATCGTTCTAATGGAATTTATCGTCTTACTTCATGAGTAAAATTAACACATGCAGAAACATACTCACTTTCGTCACAGTTAACTACACCACAACAATAGCCATTCTCTTGTATAATGTAGTATGGGCCAGGACAGTTGTTTGCGGGGGCTGAGGCACAACCAGGCACCATCTGATCAAACAAATATGTTTATTTCACTGTGAGAATGGGGAATTGGTGTTGTTTGTTATCTTTTAAAAAGGAGCCCAGGAAACTCCCCAATAAAGATCATCATCTATGCAGAAGCCAAAAAATCATGAAAACACATATTCACTACAAGAAGCTGCAGTGGCCCAGCGGTTAAGGCGTCTGACTGTCTATGATAACTAGCCCCCCACCTATGGACCAAGGGGAACGTTCATATTTCTGAGAATGGTCCACATATTACTAAGTGAGAAGAATTGTAACATACAGACGACAGACCATTGATGAAGGGAAACTTGATAAGCCCACAATTTAGCTATAGTGGGCTGAAAATAAAATCCTAGATGAACCATTTAAGCCATTGGTACTGGCAGTCCTGAACAACAAACAGTACTACAATCAAGAATGTTACATCATATTTCATTGGTTGAATGTGACCGATTTGTTGTCATCCAATTGCTGCTCTTGTTTCAAAGTCAGAATCGTATCTGCTTTATGTTTAGTAACGAGCTGGTTCAGATCTCCGGAGTGTGAATATTTTGGGTTTCAACATAACAGAAAAAAATACATGAACACAGGAGGGCTACTATTAGTAGATCTGCAAGTACAGTCATGAAACCTCTGATATGACACTATATAAAAGCATAACATTCCCTTTTAGGCAGGGTTAATATACCTCTACTGAGTTTACCTATATAAAAACAAAACGACAAATTCTCCTTTTCTCACAAAATCACTTAAATCTATCCATCTGAGGGCTACTCCCTCCCCAAAATAGGATTACTCCCTGCCAGAAAGAGGACAACTCCCTCATGAATATTTGTAGGTGGAGCTTAAAAAAAGTGAATGGGACTAAATATGCTAGGAAATCAACTATTAGATACAGATTACAAAAACACTTCTTGAATGCTAGGAAAGAGGATATCATCAACGATAATGCATACAGCACTTCTAATTGTAATTTTAAAAAATCTGTTTGAAATTGTTTAAAGAAATGAATTAATAAATTTATTTGTGACATTGGCTTACTTTGTTTCGTTATAATAAAACAGTTATAGAATGGGTAATTAAGGAAATAGCAAATTTATGGTCACCCTTGGTGAAAACTTTTTCCCTCNCACATACACCCAATATATGTAGAGTTTTTTCATTATTTAGGAGTAATATTATCTCATCAATTTTTGGTAGTAGGTGTCGAATATTCCAGCTACCAATATGCATTCCCTTTAATGGGACCCCAAAAACTGAGATTGGTGCGGCTTTAACCCCGATAATTTCATCTGAACTTGTTACTGGATTGTCAATTAATGAGGTACAAAATGAAGAAGGATTTTGGGTGGGATTAAGATTACATAGAAGATCACGCAAAATTGTAATGTCATGTTTTACCATATTCAAATTTGTATTTTGAAATTCCATATTGTCTTTGTGGGTGCTTTTATTGCTGATACATGTTCCATCATTAAAATGATTACTACTATAACAAACATCTTTGGTCTGACATTGCGCAGAATATGTTAAGCATCCACAATCACA